CACTGGCACAGTTCTAACTGTAGTCAATTTCTAAACACCTTTACCTTTCATTAGGCCTTGATGGTCTCAGAAGTAAACAAAGAAACACTTTTTAATTCGAGGCACAATAGTAAATGCCTCTTCTTTTTAACTTCTTACACTTTAGCTGATCTTTAACTTCAATGATATGTGGTTTGTGTTGAAGATTCAAGGGGAAAGGATGGGAAATGGAAGACAGAAAATGAAAAGATGAATGAAAGGACCGTGCTAAACAGAAGCTGTGGAACTAGCATCTCCTGATCAGGTTTCCGAGTTCAGCATGGAGGGTGCATACTAAGAACTGCCTCGAGTCAAGAGCTATGAAAGAGAGGGGCCAGGCAGCAGCGCTGGACAGAAGGTGAACTGCCATTCAGGACAAGGACAGCCTCAGTTGACCCCACCCCCGCCCCCACCCCACAGCAGCTCTGAAAACAGAAAAGCTATTATAGGCTGTTCCTAAGCTGGCTGAAGTGATGACGCTTTTTATCTCCACTTCCCCCATATCCAATCAAGTCAGCTCACTGACTGTGGGTGCTGATGTGAATCACACAGGAAGGTTGCCTGCCGGATACACACCTAGCAACAGTTACCAGGTCCTCCTCTGAAGTGGAAACTCAGGGGCAGAAAGCAGCCAGTCAGTTACAGATCTGAGCAGAAAACCAAGAACTGATTACTCTGTTTCTCATATTTTTAATAGCAATAAAAGCTAGGATGGCTATTTTGCAAAGAATCATCAAGGAATTTCATTTCATTATGAAGTATTCTTGGATGGGATAAACAAAAAGAGTAATTTGAGGCAGCTTTTTACAGAGAGGACAAAATTATTAAACATATTACTAAACTATGAATCCTGCATTATAGGTCAAGATGTCAGAGATTCAAGTTTTGATTTTTATGTTTTTTAAATATTTATTGGTTATTTTTATTTTTTTATGTGTATGAGTATATTGTCTGCATGCATATAAGTGCACCTGTGTCATGCAATGACCAGGGAGGTCAGAAGAGGGCGTCGGATTCCCCTGGAACTGGAGTTATGAGCTGCCATGTGGGAGCTGGGAATCGAACCCGTGTCCTCTGGAAGAGTAGCCAGTGTTCTTAACTGCTGAGCCATCTCTCCAGCCCCTCAAGTTTTGTTTTCATATGGCTTTATGTATGTTTTGTTCCCTAGATGTTACAAAGACACAGTACACTTAAGTCTTCATTTTCTAAATCTTCACTGGATCTCAATAGGAAAGATTAAATTGGAAGTAGTCAGGGCTGCTGGCAAACCTCCCTGGTTCCTCATTTTGAATTTTACTGAAGTATTTAAATTTGGAATATAAACTGTTTGCCAACACGCTTAAGAATTACGCTTTCATTTCTGCTTCTTCTTCTGTTTCAGCTGCACTACTTTCTCGATTCCACGTACTTGCCACACTGTCTTCCTCCCCATCTCCTTTGCTTTGAACACTGCCTGAGATCATCACAGTCTGCTTCCTTTCCCCTCTCGTGTCAGCACCCAGAGGGACGAATTCCCAAAGGGCCATTACAGAATCTACAGCAATCCTGCTCTGCCTAAGCCAAATGTTCCATATTAGCCTACCTTATTATACTGGTAATAAAATTATCCTGGATCATCTTGTTTATATATTTATCTGTTATTCACTACAGTATCCATAGCACATAGATTGGTCCATGACATTCATATAATTACTCATTGGAAAGAATGAATTAGAATGAATGAATGTTCCTGATTCACATAATTTTAAACACATATCAGAAACACAGTAAGTGAAAAACAATTATTTGTCTAGAGAAAATTCAATTCATTCTATATTTTTAAGTTAAAAAAGGACAGGACTGCTATTCTGTATTCTAATATCTTAACTTTTACTAAAGTAAAAGCTCAAATGTACATATATCTGGGTTTTCCTAAAGGGCATCATAATAAATAAAATGAGGATGTTTCTGCTTATATGAGTAACGTATTTTATAGTAAGAAAAATATATTTGGCTGTGCAAAACACATTCCATCTTCTGACTTGTAAATCATGAGAAAAATGCTGAAATTTTCTAAGAGTAATTTCCCAACTTCATGTTAAAAACAAGCCTGTGATGGTCTGTATAAGAGACAAACAGAAACAAGTCATAAATTAGTTCAGTACAAAATAACATGTTGCATAAACTTTATAATTTTAAGCTTGACTTTAAGCAGGAATATACAATGTCCCAGAAGATTCCCTGGGCTCAGGCTGAGTTCTGGCAGAATGAAATGGAGCGTCTTCTGCGATCCTGGCTGGACGTTCAAGTCTCACTCCCACGCGAATCATTTCAGTCATCTGCACACTCAGTAAAACACTGAACAGGACTGAAATAGGCAGGATACCACTCCTTATTTTCAACAGCACCTATTTCAAGTTTAAAAAGTTCTACAAGTGTTCTTTCGTCTGTATTAGGACAAGTACTTTATTTATCTAAAATTCTTTCTAATAGTTCCAGCAACTAGTTATTTTTAAGAAAGATCGATTTTGGATGAAAATAGCGTTTTTACTCTACTACATCATTTCTGAGTCACAATTCAGTCTTCCTTCAGACATATCTTTTCAGAACAAGGAAGACTATTCAGGTATAGAAAAGATGTTCTTCCAGAGGCTAGAGGTGCAGTTGTAACTGTGATTGATGCCAGGTGCATAAAAACACCAAGGACACTATACCTCATGGAATACAGTGGAAGTGAGCAACACATAAATTCTACGAGTATTTTTTGGGGGAGGGGGTCTTTTTGAGACAGGGTCTCCCTGTAGCCCCAGCTGTTCTGGAACTTACTATGTAGACCAAGCCGCCTTGAACTCACAGAGATCTGCTTGCCTCTACCTCCCAAGTGCTGGGATTAAAGGCGTGAGCCACCACGCCCAGTTCTACGAGTATTTTTAAATGCATTTGACAGGCCAAATGTTATATAGCAGCAAATAGCTACCTGAAATTAATCAGTTAGTTGCTCCAACTTATCAAGAGTCCCCCTAGTCTATGTAACACCTGGAAAGATAAAAACTGATCTTTGAGTGCAGGCAAGCCACCAAGTAATGATCTTTATAAAAAGAATGATTCCTTGTTGTGTCACAGTATAACCAATTGTACATTGTTCACATAGGATGTTATATTAACTATTGAAACACTTCAGGAAGGGGAAAAGGTGATAATGCATCTTTGCCACTTTTACATTCACATTTTAGTAACTTCATACAATTAAAATATTTTCCAAATGAAATGTCAAAATGAGTTATTTACCAAAGTGATATTGTAACAAGTCTAGAATAGCAGGTTACTAGCCTCAAGGAAACAACAAGTACAAAGCTAAGGTAAAGGCAACTTTATTACAATCGTCTCAAAACTTCAGAATGCATTTATCACTGAATCTAATATATAATACATTATATTACAGCTCAGAAAGCATTCATAGTCAGATATTGTGCTTCCCTGAACTGCCTAAAACATAGCTTCCTAGGAATAGCTGCAATACACAGTAGTTTATAACACTGACTAAAATATATCTCTAGTATTAGAATTATTTAAATGGAAACTTATGCTATTTTCCTCCAATTTAAAGATGAAACAAAGCCATTTTCTACAAATCTTACTGATTAATGCCTAGAAATTCAGTATACCATAAAAACATTCACTAGCTTAGATACAGTTCCTTTGGTAGAAAATAGGATTTTTGAAAGTAACCAAAGCAAAAGAATACTGTATTTCTCCATTGTAAGCGGGAGCCGAATTCTCCTTCTTCCTTTTTCAGGAGCCAAATCTTGGCCCCCTTCCTTCTTTATCTAGTCACCTGAATAAGAACCTGCTTTAAAGGACACCTAAACCTACAATGAACTCTTAACAGTCTTCTCTGTTAATTTTGCTTCCTCACATGTGCTTACTTAGAATAATTTACAATCAACTTTGAACATTCTGTAATAATGAATGTGAACATTATCTTGAGAAATGTAGTAAGACAAAAAAATGTTTTCCAAATTAGACAAGAACATTATTTGCTCATCTGCCTCTGCTTTAACCAACAAATCAGATCAACCTTACAAAAATAATTCCTTTTCCAAGATCATGACTATAACAATGAAGATAGATGTAAATACACTAAATGGACAAGTCCCTTCATTTTGTCTTTGGTTGTACTCTGTGACCTACCGACTAGCACAAAACATATTCAACCTTCTCATTTTCACAATAGGAAATTGCTAAGAAGGTATAGAAAAGGCTCTAGTTCTCATAGTCAAATGTAATACAGATTTTTCTATCAAGTTCAAAAAACAAAAAGTGAGTGAAAGGCACGTGCTGGCTGCCTGGGTTGGGGAAGCAAGGCTCAGATCACTGTACATTAAGAGCACGTGCTGAAACTTCATGGTGCCAGTCACGTAATTTTGTGTATTTGGGACTAAAGACGTGAAGGGGTATCTTTTCCCTGTGGAAATAAAAAAAAAAGAGTGATAGAAGAGTCATAAGAAAGAGAAAGCAGAAGATTCTATACTAATTCCATCATGCAGAAAACATGCCTTATAAAAGCTTAATTTCACATAGCGGTTAAATAGCAAAGAGTTTAAGAGTAGAGAATGTTGGAAATATAGAAATTAGTACACAGAGACCTCCTGAAAATAAATTTTTATGTCTCAAATAAAGTGAATACAAGACAGCACAGGAACTAACTCACTAACATACATACTGTTAGCAATGCATCCCCATATACCTTTTTGCCTCGTTATTTCAGTACTAAAGGGAATATGCCTTAGACATAAAATCCAGACAATACTGACTAATTTGAAAACCCACAGGTTGCAAACTTAGGTCGCTCTAAAGGCATCATAGTTAAATGCTTAGCTTCTATTGCAAAGACAAAATACCATACCATTATAGTTGAGAATTTGAAAAAAAAAAAAAAAAAGGCAAATTGAGACCATTCACAAAAACTAAGCATTCAATATATAAAAAGGCAGAGAACTTACTTTGCCTTCTTTGTATTGTCACTTTCAGATTCTTTCACTGCAATATAATAACATCCAATATTAGTTTATTTTCATTTTTAACTTCAAACCCCCTTAATAAATTATCTGTATAAATCAATAACCAATGTTCAAGCCTCATAGAACAACTACAACAATCCACACTGTTATCACTGGCTACATAACCCGGCTGGCATTCTCCTCTCCCTCCTCCTCCCTGTAACGCCCCTGGGCTGGAATATTGCTATATACAGCACAATTTCAAAGCAAACTCTTCCAGGTTTGCTTTCCATAAGTGCCAAAGTCTAGATGTTACTCTCTGGGCAAAAGAATGTTCATCTCCTAAGATCTCTGGAGGCTCACTCACGATGTTCAGTCCCAGTAATCTGGGCAAGGATCCGGAAAGAACGAGACTGAGTTGTTCCAGTCCGTGGGCGCCAGTCTTCAGTGTCCTCAATCAGCCTCTTCTTACTCGCATCACTGTGAGTGGGGATGTGATAAAACTCTGTGTTGCGCTCCACAATGTGTTTTCTCGGTGGGCTAGGAAAAAGAGAGGAAAAAATAAAAAGAATTACAATTTAAATGACATTGAGGATAAAATATCCTCTAGTGAACTATTTATAATTTATGCATTTACTCCTCAATGTTCCTTTTATATACAGTTTGCTTGTGCATATATGCTTAATCAAAAAATATCTAAGTAGACTTTGTATTAGTAAGTGTAAACTTTTAAAAGGTGATTGAACACAAAGATTACCGTTTAGGTGGGATTTTCCTTTTAATTGACAGAAGAAGGTAGCAGAAGAAAGATTCGCGACATGAAGAAAAGGAAAAGAATAAGGAAAAATGAAATCTAGAAAAGGAGAAGTCTACAGCAGTCAAACCCAAACAATTCAAAATTACTTGTGTTGTTCACCCTATGACATGTATGAACTATGATTTAACCAGTTAACTATGAATCTGTAACTAAAATAGACTGGCTCTCACAAAACTAAGTGATCATATCTTCACTAGGCCCAGGAACAAATGGTTTATATGGTTAAACTAGCAACTCCCAAAGCAAGCTGGAACAGAACCAGAACTGCTGCAGTCTACAACGTCCTCAGTTGTCTGTACAGGATCTTGAATCCTATTAGAACTGTGTGTGTACAGGTCAGCACTGTGAAGATCTGTGGGGTCATAGAGAAAGAGACCATGACTGAAATATTGCCACTACCACTCTTCCCAAGTGTGGTTTTAGACAAGTCCATCTCACTCAGCCTTAGTTTTCTCCTTTATAAACAAAAAGGATCACATAAAGTAGTGCTGTTATGAGGACTAAGTGTGATAGCATATGTCAAAGACATGTAAGTATGGGACGTAAACACTTAAAGTTTGACAAGAAAATTCATATTTCTACTAATACAGCAACAAATACCAAGCAGTTTACAAAATACACTATACTTGGTACCTCAAGATCTACTGAACAAAATAAACAGCTCACACTTTTCTTAAAAGACAAGTGACAACTACTAAAGGTTTACTTTTGGAAAAGAAAAAGGAATGCAAGTCTTGACTAGCAGAATTCTGTCCTAAGATCTGAGTAGAGAAAATATTCTAAATGTAGCCAGATGCAGATACAAGGCCTGGTAGGTTAAGTCACTACTAAAAAATTATAGTGCTTATCACCATGCCACAGAGCTGTCATCATTCTAATGGTTACACCATCCAAACTGTCTCAGTACCCTGGAGTTTTTCCAAGTTAATAACACTGGCTTTACAAAGATATACACAGACAATTTGGAGCACTGTGTCTTCCACTCAGTGTACATTTTACAGAAGTCACTTAATATCTCCTAGTCAGCTTTCCCATTTTAAAAACAGGAATTGCATCTTAAAGGTAATTCTGAGAAAAAATAAGATGAATGATGTATGTAAATAGCTTTCCACAGGTCATGGTCCATAGAAATCATCACACTATGTTCTTTCAGGGTGACCAAAACACTAACTGCAATGCATGACCTAAGACTACACTTCATAGACGTAACATTAAAAAATAGAAATCAGCATCTGTGTACAATATAGTAAGATACATGATTTATAGTAATATTTCATGATTATGGAAGTGAACTAACAGACAATGATGTATCTGTGTACAATATAGTAAGATACATAATTTATAGTAATATTTCATGATTATGGAAGTGAGCTATCTAACAGACGATGTATGTAAATAGCTTTCCACAGGTCATGGTCCATAGAAATCATCACACTATGTTCTTTCAGGGTGACCAAAAAACTAACTGCAATGCATGACCTAAGACTACACTTCATAGATGTAACATTAAAAAATAGAAATCAGCATCTGTGTACAATATAGTAAGATACATGATTTATAGTAATATTTCATGATTATGGAAGTGAACTATCTAACAGACAGTTACGAATATTGAGAAAAATCTAGTTCTTTAAAAAAAACAGACAAAAAAATTTCTGAAACTAAGAAACAGATAAAAATACTAAAAAACACTGCCTTTATCATATAGAAAACAGTTCATATGTAAGTATTTGAAAAATTTTATACCCAGCTAACAAAAAAATCAAGTTTTAAATTTCTCTTTGGTCAGTAAGCATCATTTCTTCTTAAATTATGCCAAACTCAAGTTTAAGATTTTTTTTTTAGACAGGGTTCCACAGAACCCAAGCTGACCTCAAACTTGCTACATAATCCAGCTTGGCCATGAACTCCTGATCCTTCTGTGTCCACCTTCCAAGTACTAAGATTCCAGTATGTGCTACCACACCTGATTTATGCCATGCTAAAGATAAAATCCATAGCCTCACAAATGTTAAGCAAGTACTCTACCAACTGGGCTACATTCCCCAGCCCACATATAAGATTTGGTTCAGCCTCTATAAAAGTTTCATCTATAAAAACATGAAACAATGGTTTCAAACTACGATATGAAGAATAATAAAATGATCACATCTAAGTAGTCATTACTATGACATGCTCACAGAAAGTGTAGTTTACCTTAGACCTTATAGCATTTACCACCACAGCTTAAAGTCTTGGATTAAATTATAGGAATTTGCTAAGCATTTACCTAGTGTTTTATCATTCTGAAACTTTGATTATGATAAATATGTTCAAGAACAGAATAATTTTAACGATTTTATTTTTTAAAATATGTTTAAAATAGAATGTAAACTTAATTCTCAAGCAAGGAATTTACTTCAAATTACTTTAGCTCATCCACATTTATCTTTAAAACAAATACTAAATACTTAAACTGCATCTCTGCAGTGCACTGTCTCTAATGCTTATCCGCCCCCATAAGATAGTTTATTTCCACTGCACAAAAATTCCAACATATTCCACTGTTTCATAGAAAGATTTCTACTATAAAAGCACCTTTCTGGTGCTCCTTAATATTTTTGAGAATTCTTGTGCTGAGATGATACTAAGAAAGTTTGCTGTTGTTGGTAAGTTGAAAACAAAATGAAAAGTTACAGTGAGATCATGATGAAAAGTACAAGACAAACCGTTAGTTAGGTACTTACACAGTGCCAGGGTTACTGAGGGAGGTACAATACACACAAGAAAGATGCGATACACAAGAAAGATGTTCCCAGGATGATGGAAAACAGAGAGAGATGAGAGGAAACAAAAAGGAAAAAAGAAAAAATGAAACAGCAGAACCCCAAAATAATGAATTTAAAGAGATTTACACAAACACCATGCTTCAAAGTAATCATGGAAACACAAAAATATAGAACATTAGTCAAAATTCAGCCGCACTGCTACTATGAAGACAATTTAGCTATTGTTTCTAGCCCACAAAACACAGCTACTTTATTAATGCAAGTTCAAATACTAAGCTACTAAATATCAAGAGCCACATATTTTTTTAATGTCTACGTCTTTAGAAAATTGATTTTAATATAAACCCAAACTCTCATTATTTTCTTAACAAAAGACACAGAACAAAGAATGATGTTATAGAACATGCAGAAATAGAGCAGTTTATTCTGGGCCTTAAAAATATTGATTTTTTAAAAAAATTATTGATTGGAGAATTTCATACAATGTATTTTGATCATAGTCAGACCCCCTCCATCTTAAGAGTTTGTTTTAAAAATCAGAAAAATGTTTCTGTCTGACTTCATAGAAGCATAATACTAATAGCATCTGTCAACTCTTCACACAAGAGAATGTTACACTACTTGAATTTTTTTTAATGTAGTGACTGATGAAAATGCAGGAAACAAACACTGTAGACCAAAAATTGTGGGCTATCTCAAAAGTTCACACTCTTCTCTTTCTCTCGTGATCATCACTTTCTTTCATGACCAAATCCCAGGAACTTTAGAACTAGTATGTGATAACTACATAGTTCTATATTACTGATGACATGATTTTGTTCAGAAAGGTATAACTGACATTTTATACAGCAAAGGAACTTGGTTAATAATGCGTGAAGAGGGAAAACTTCAGAACATAATTCATTTGCATAGTCATCACCCCAACCCTGAGTGGGCTGATTTTAACCTAAAAACTCTATTTGAATATGACCAACAAACATTTTCCATATATTAGAAAATATGCTCAAATGGATTAGCCTCATTCACGGGACAAAATATGTTAATGTGGTAACATATAATCTGGTCTAGCTATGTTGCCCAATTTCTGTGTCCTGTGCAAAATATTCCTACAGAAGGTTCGATTTTTCAACAGTAAAATAGGCTACAGTTTTTCTAACCTTTCCTACTTCTTATAAGGGCTTACCTTTTAAGTATTTAAAATCTATACAAATACTGATTTATGGTCGGGAAAGATTCTACAATTATTCAAGAAAGGTGCTTTCCAACTGTAGCTTATACATATTCGCATAGGCATAACTTGGCTTGGTAGTCTCTAAAAGTAGGTACTAAGTCAAAAATAATAGAACAATTTAAAAATGACAACAAGCACATGGTAGAGAGTACATCCAAATTTGGCTTTGTAAGACTCAAAATCAAATCTTAGCTCCTTACAAGAAGCATAACGAGAAAATTATGCATTACAAAAGTGCATAGTAATACCTAATAAATTAATGGATCTGAATCCTATATTCTGAGGCTATCAATTTAATCTAAAATCTTCAATTTTATTTCAAGTGCTATATATTCCCTTTGTCAAACAGTCTGTTATACTGCCATAGCAACTGGCCAGTTTAATAATAAATCATAGTTATTAGCTTACCAATATGTTGGAGTCAATCAGTAGACTCTACAGGCAATTAGAAAGAAGGCACTCTAATAATTTAATAGTTAATTTTCTTGAGTATGTCCCAAGATAGATACTACACATTTCCAATTAGACTTTATGGTGTGCTGATAAAAGATTTTTCTGCATCTGTTCAAAATAATCCTAGTTTAATTAATAAAAAATTACTCTAAGTTGTCTGATTTTTACCTAGTTTTAAAGCTAGTCATCAGTAGCCAGTTTAATGTATGATTAGAAAAGCAAAAATGTCACAATGGTTTTTAAGATCTATGCCCAATGACGGAGACATTTAACTGATAGTATCTCCTTTGATGAATTTAAAAGTATGAACTTTCAGCAGGGAGGGGGGGCACATGCCTTTACAACACTCAAAAGTCTCAGGCAGAATGATCTCTGTGAGACTGAGATAGAGGTTTGGTCTACACAGTGAGTTCTAGGCCATCTGGGGCTACAGGGATACCCTATCTCAAAAAAAAAAAAAAAAAAAAAGGCATACAGACTTTCTAATACACACATACACACAGCACACAGAAGTCTAAACCTGCCCGTAACACTGTCTGAATTAAAACTCTTCAGAAAAATTAGAAAAATTTGTTTTTCTAGGAAATTTTATCTAGGGAATGCTGACTGTTAATATTAATTTGGAAATCAGTTTTATATGTTATTTACTAAAGGTACACATTTTATAATTTCTTATCTTTTTCTTGTAACACTCTTGACTGATAAGAACTAATTCTCTCAAGGACTTCCTCTTTTTAGCCATTACACAGCAAACTCCACACTTATTTTATGACATAATTAAACACTAATTACTACAAAGCAATTCAACATAGCATAGCAATGCAAACCAAACTTGTTGAAAATACTATGGTTTTCCTAAATTATAATTCTTTTGCAAAATTTAATTTTGCAAAAACCGAGCATTCATGCTGTTTACTCATATATAAATCACCATATTTCCTCTCCAGTAATGCTGATACTAACTTTGTCACGTGTGTTTTCTGTAAAGAGAAAAGCAATTTAAACCATTACTTGACCGTATTATTAATTTTTGCATCTTCCAATGATAGATTCTTCAGTATACCACATACAAATTGTTAGAAGACGTCACAGCCAAAAAAAGTTGAAATTAATATAAGATACTCAAAGGACTTACCTATTAAAAGCAGTGGCACATTATAATGCAAGGACATGTGGTGAGTGCAATACAAATCAGCTAAACAACTTGATGTAAAAAAGCTTCCTCAAGCCTGGAATGTAAAGCCCTATACTGTTCATCATGGTGTAAGAAGCAGAGAGAACAGCCTGCCAAGAGCAATAATTTACATGCACAAGAAAGATTCAAATTTCTTAAAGAAGGAAAAGAATGCTTACATGGTATTATTTACAGATATTCTAAAAAATATCAATATACTATCTAGTCTTCTAATTATTAGAAGAAACAGCTAATTATATCTTAGTAATGAGCCTAGCACTTGTTTGGTCATATGTTTATTGATCCAACACAAACCTAGGTGAGATGTGTATGAAAGTGGCAAAATGTCTAACCATTTAAAATCACTTAAAAACTAACAGTCATGATGCTCTGAGGTAAAGGCAACTCAGACATTTAATTTTACATCCTTCCAAACTCTTAAAACACTAACTCTTCAAGAAGACACATAGCTGACTAATAAAATGTCTGACTTACTTTTTATTTCTCTAATTAAATGTAGTGACAGAAAGAGACAGATTTGTCTTAGAATCTGACAGGCCCTGTGTTTTTACTTTCCTAACATCTGGACAACATTTGAAATCAAGCTATTTTCAAACACATTCAATCTTCAAATGCAAAGCAGTAGCTTGATTATTAAAGATGCAAAACATGTAGTAATTGCTTTTATCCCAAATTTTGTACAGTGCTGAACACCAGGCATGAGCTTAACAAATACTTGCAGACTAATTAAGAAGTGACCATAAAGGCCCTGGAACTACAGTGCTGTCTTTTTAGCCTATATCAAACTTTAAATCATCTCAAGCTTAATTATCAAAGCTATGCTTATAAACTACCAAATTTGAATAAGACATGATTACCTTCAGTGGATTTTCTTCTGAAGCTCGAATTTAATAAACATAGTAAATTTGTGTTTCAGTTTTCTGTGGGCTGGCATTTGAAAGGTGGCATCTTTCTTTTCTGGTTTCCTAGTTTGGTTACTCTATCATCTATTGTCATATAATAGTCACATGGGAAAAAAAGAATAGCACAGCCAATCAGACCTCAACACTATCATTTCTCTTCCTCAGATTAAAGAAGAAATAATATTCTTTGAATGACACAAATTTATTTCAACATATACATGAAAACTTTAAAAAGGCATCCAAACCACAGAGCCATACATGCACAGCCCAACAGCTTTGCCTGCTCTGTGCAGCAGCCTACAGATCCACCTTCTTTTTCAAGGACCTACGTTGCCAAGACAGCAGTGCTACAGAAATGCACAACCTCTTCTCATTAAATGAATTAGCATCCGGGAGGGATGAGATCTCGTAAAAAGGACCTATCTACAAAATTATAAGTTTCCTGGACACAGGCATCATGTGTGTGTGTACATTATTCCCCTTTGTTTTCCACTTAAAATACAATTTTGCCCCAATAAATCTAATCCAAAATTCATGTAGATCACTTTGCTTTCAAGTATCTTCATTAAGTGCTAAAACAAATAAAATAACCGCCTAGAAATAAAGGCTTCAAAAATAGATGTGCAATCTTATAATTTGGGTATTTAAATAATTTAGTAAGTTCAACAAATTCCTAAATATATGCTCCAACAGAAAAATGAATCAATTTTCAAAAGCCGCTGCTAATATATATAACATCTACTCATTTAAATGCATTAATCCTAGAAAAATCTATACAGAGCTTCTGATGCTAAATATCCCTTCACATTTTAAAATTACTGATTATATTTATAGAATAAATTCTTGCTAAACTTTATCTGAAAAGAATGCTTGCTTTTTGCTCTGAGTTAATGCTTCATACATAGACATGGGTCAGAAGTTAATTGCTTTTGTGTTTCCTAGATTCCTTCTGAGGCAGAGGCACAGGAGGTGTGTGTGTCGGGCAGGGGGTCCTTACAAACTCATGTTCTTTCTTCTTAGGGTGGCATTCATAAGCTGAGAACAATTACAACCACACTGTGTAAACTTGTGGTAGCCAATAAAAGGATTGCAATTTTGAGGAAGATAGATATAGGATCTGCCTTGCATTATAAGTGCCAGCTGCTCAATATTCTGTCTGGAATTGGAGGAAGAAGTGACAGAATATATTACATGGCTCAGAACATAATTAGGTTTTGATTTACCTATAATTGCTTTGCAAAAAGTCTCTGTCTATATAAAATAATGGCCACTGTTAATGCAGAAAATATATCTTCATCTTCCTTCAAAGAACAGCTGAAGGGAATGTAGATAGTGTTTCCTGAAAATTACCTGAAAGAAGGGTTTTGATAAAAGCAGAAAACACCCTTTGCCACCTACCCATTTTGCTGTTTAATGTCACCCTGGGATCCTCTTCTCTGTCCCTCTGCTAGCTCCTGAGTAGTCTCGGAACACACGCTGGTGATTGTGGGCTGCCGTGGGACATTAACTGCAGATTTACCAGTGTTCAGTGCAGTGGAACACTGGTCAGCACTAAGATTGGCATTAACATGCAGTCCAGATGCAGAGAATGGGGGAGAAGTGACAGCGGCCACAGGTGGAGGGGAAGCATGTGATGAAGTGCTTGCATGGGCTGGGGTGAAGGCAGACGATGGTGATGGGATGGATGTGATTTTTGGTGAAGACACAGAACCAAAGGGCCGTGCTGCTTTATTGTAGGCCATGTTGGTTGTGGAAGTGACTTTGGAGACAGCAGGAGATGTAATGGGCACAGGTTTAACTACTTCTTTAGGTTCACCCTATGTGAAATAAAAATAAACATATACAAAACACACCAAATACATGCATGATATACTGAGTAAAAACACATAGCTGATTTAAAAGAGACAAATACATCATGTTAGCAGCTCAAATATCACGTTTAGGAAAAACAATGACTTGATATAGCACACCATGCATGCTAACTGGTCTCAACATGCACAACACAACTGTATACAGTAAGTACATTTTCATTTATGAAAATGAAAGCAGTTTCAAAATATTTAGCACACAGAGCAGGAAAACCAGCCCAATGCCAAGCAAAACAAAAAGTCTAAAGGCTATCATTAAATATCAATTTAGATATATTCCAGAGGAAAGGTTTTTAATACACCACATAAACAAAATATTGCTACTGAAACATTTCTTACTTTAAAATATCCAAAGCCTCAATTATAATTCCATCTTTCAAAACTTTTTTTTCTTTCTTTCCATAGTACCATTACTTGATTCATGAAAAAGCACCAATAAGCTTTAAACTCTTCAATAAAAAAATGAAAAATTCATCTAACTTAGTGCACATATTCTATGATCATCTTGAATAAAGAATCTGAAAAAGAAAAAAACTCAGACTGGATGAACAAAACGCAGTCAGTCCTGTGTTTCTCCTGTAATCCACTGTTCTCTGTGACTGTTTGAAGATATGATTAAGAGACAGAATAAAATTATTTCTCTTTTTTCAAATAGTTTCATAAGGAGAAACAAGATTTTATATATTTCCTCATTTTAGGAGCCAAAGACTAGTAAGAAAGATCAATTCCTTCTAAAATCACCTGAGTTTGTAAATCATCTGAAAGCACAAAGTTATCCCTATGACATTGCAGAACAAATCCCTATTCATTCAACCATTCCAAAAGAAAACAAAACCTTGAAGAATCTATATTTTGGTAATTCTAGTATGCTTAATTTTAAGAAAAAGTGGTAATCTAAATAAACCTTACTAAAAATTAAGAAAATTAAGTAGCATAAGGTCAAAACAAGTCAAATTTTACAAATATTTTAATTTATTATTTTTAGTTTATGTATATGAGTGTTTTGCCTGCATTTAAGTGCACCCATGTCATGCAATGTCCATGGAGGTCAGAAGAGGGCATTGGATCCCCCAGAACTGGAATTACTGACAGTTGTTAGCCGCCATGTGGATCCTGGGAAATGAACCCAGGTCCTCTGTAAGAGCAGGCAGTGCTCTTAACTGCTGAGTCATCTCTCCAGCCCCCAAAACAAATTAATTCAATGAACTGCCAAGAAATTGATGGAGAAAAACGTCAAAAAGCATAAATGAAATGAATTCAAATACTGGTTTGGGACAATGTGAAGATGTATATAGAAAAAGTGGGATACTTGCTAATAACCGACTCCAAGAATACTCTGAAATGTTATTTGTGGGTACTACTAAAGGCATATCATAACATTCATTTTGGGTAATTACTTAATTATTCTTTTTAGAAAATATAAGTATGAAGATAGAAAGATTAAAAGGAAATATAAAAGAAATTTGGGCATGCACTATTAACAATGCATGGCTTTAGAAATAATGTTTTATAATATGATTACATATGATAATGTCAGAAGTGTTGATTTCTAGTTTCCTCTTTATCTTTTAAGGAAAAGAACCATGATCAAAACTGAGATTATAAATTAAAAGTCAGTATGGCATTCTAATATAAAAACAAAGGTTCAGCAGCTCAGGCAGAAAACCTGAATGGTAACCTAGTGACTAGAAGCGCACCTTCTGAACAGTGACTGGCTCAGGCTTGGATGCAGCAGATGCTCTGGAAGGGAAAAAAAGAAAAAAAACATGAAACCTTTGGTAACTCAAAAACTTCATATTAACAGAATTTTACTATTAATGTATCTTAAGATGCTAAATCACCAGAATAATACCTGCATAATTGCTAGTTCTCATTATCCACAATCTTCTAATAAGTTCATGTAAGTCAAATGTTACAAGAGCCAATATCCTCGCATACTATAATAAATTCTCTTCATCAGTGTCTACATCTCTACAAACTCCAATGAGAAGAGACAAAACACCAATCCTATTTGTTTTTTAGTCCTAACTAACCAATCCTAATTAAGGCTATTTCCCATTTTTAAAAAGTACCATAAATATGGCTTTCTGATCCTTGAGAGATATTCAATGAATCAACCTGAATCTCAGAGTAGTATTTGCCTTTTCTCCTAACATCCATGAACATATCCATAGGGTGTTAATTCTCTTTTTGAAGGTGACAACTATATTCTGGTTGAGCTGAGTCACTGAGTAATTTATTTGTATTTGTATTTTTAAATGCTTATACAAGTCAGTGTATTTATGGTTAAACATATATGGCTATGGTTAAAATTAATTGTCAAAGTGAGAGTATCTACAATTGCCTAAGAAATGAGCCTCTGAGCTTATGTGTGATAGATTATCTAGATTAGGTTAACTGAAATGTGAAGAGACACCTCAGCTGTGAGAGGTACCAATCCCATGGGCAGGGGTCAGAGACCGAATAAAAAGGAGAAAATGAGCTGAGTGTAGGAATTAAACTCCTGCTTCCTGACTGTAAATGCAATGTGATTAACTGCCTCAAGTTCCTGCTGCCACGCCTTCCCCATTAAGATGTTCCCTCAAACTGTGAGACAAAATAAACTCCTGCTCCCTTATGTTGCCTTTGCAGGGTAGCATTTCACAGCAATGAGAAAAGCAACTAGTATACTATGCTAAAAGCAGACCTGAATTCATCTACTAGTCTATACTTTCAGTAAAGGTAGCTGACCGTGTCCCAAATGTATCCATATTTTAGTATATCACCTAGCATGTAATGTTACCAGTAATGAACATGCAAGGGTGACTATTCACATATTCAAGCAGATTTTTATTTTTAACATACTTTGCATTCTGTGCCTTTTGGTTACTATGGATTAAATAATAACTGGCTTGAAGCAATCATCTCATATAAAATAATTATTATCAAATGAGGAGCTTCAAAGTTCACATAAATTGCATAGGATTAGAGCTGAACTCCCAGTCTGTTGATATATATTACAATATAATGACTGTATTCAAGGATATTAACAAAATAACTGAGGAAGTTACTGATATTTTATAGAATATTTACACAATATCAAATTACATTTAAAAATTGTTTGAGAATTGCATACATCATATAAATGTGTTTTGATCAAATCCATCCCCAGCAGCTCTTTCCTTAGCCCTACTTTAATACGTTCTTTTTTAATATACCGGAAACAAAATAATTCCTCTCATATTACACAAGCCCAAGGATAAGAAATCAAGGGTGAATTACAGAAATGTGAGCATAGTAGATAAATATTGAGAGATCACAAATAACATGGACAGTGAGTATCCCAATGAACTGTGATCAACACTTTTAGTAACTGAATTTTCCAGTAACAACTCATTTAGCTAAGCAGGCACCAAGATAACAATTAATTGGCCAGCCTAACAAAAGTCCGCAAAGGCTAACATTCGGGTATTGCAGTACAGGTTATCCTCTATGCAGTTGCATAACTTTCCATGTGTTCTCACAAACAATTTCTCGTTTAGCTTACAGAGCAATTACAACAAAGAAACAAGTTCAAATTAGGAACAATGGAATCTTCCTTTCATTGAAATTTCCACAGGAGGATTTAATTACAAAGAATCTACTCATTAAAACCACCCAAGACATTATTGAAAGGTTGCCAAATTGTTGAGAAGCTAGTACCCTTTTTCATCTGGACACGTTAAGGTAAATGGAGCATTTCTAGCAACATAATTTGGCTGGGGATGTAGCTCAGCTTGCCTGCCATGTGCAAGGCCCTGAGCTCAATTCTCAGGACCAAGATAAAGGAACAAAAATCAATTAATAGTTACTAGGCTGCCACACTTAACATAAAAGCATATATATTTATATCTAGATATGGATATGTATGAAAACAAATCCCTTAGGTTTTAGCATCAACAAAAGCCCAGAACAGCCAGTATTGTCACACATTTTAGAGTTCCATCAACTTATCAGGTTGAGAATGAGACCTAGCATACTTCATTAATTGGAAATTCTATATTTATACTGCTTAAAATGTGATTTTACAGAAAAAAAAATGAATCTGAACATACCTTATTTGCCTTCTGACAAATTCCTAAGGATTTAAAAAAGCATTTCAGAAGAGTGGCAACCTGCCCTCAAAATTCAGGAGTTGAGTCCATTATAAATATTCTTTTGCAGTGAAAAACCAATTGGCTTGTAATTACTTGTCAAATAAAATAGTTGATAGGAGGTACAATAAAAATTAGTTCCCTTGATTTTAAATGCTAACCACAAAATGAGGTACAGAATCACTAAATTTTGAAAGGAAATTTTTCCTTATATGCCAAGTAGAATTGTCTGAATCCTTAATCTGTCTGAATATTTATAGAAGTTCACAATTTCAGCAAAATTATGAACTATTCTGTTAAAACAATTTTCATGTTAGTATGTTATTTTGCCTTTTGGTATAAACTTGGAAGCTGAGAGACAAAAACTGAGTTCAAAGCCAGAACAGTTTCTTTTTTTCATTTTTAAAATCATTCACAGAATTCTGCATTTTGGCACTGCATGATAAAATGCTTCCTACAACATGATTGGTATACTTGAAAACCACCAATATTTTCACCAATATCTTAGAAGAAGAGGTTCTCTTTAAATGATACTCATCCTCTTCTCTTTTGTATTTGTATTCCTTAATTTATACAATATATATTTCTTTTTATTATTTATTATTATTTTCTTATTATTATAAGGAATGCATTCACAAAGTGCTATTTCATAGAAATCTATTTTCTACAAAACTAAACAAAGCATTCTGCTATGAAAGCAACATGGGTGTCCCAGTTATAGAACATCTTAACCACAGGCCTTTAAAGGACTTAAGAAAATACTTTGGATTGCTGTCCACACACATTTGAAGGCAACCTCATTCCTTAGGAAGCATTTCTCAAGAGTAGAGTTGAGGATGGGGTTTGGGAAACATTATTTAAAATAAATATTTAAAGAATGAAGAGATCTTAGTAATGTCTGAATTGTTTAGTTAAGTCTCCCACAAGTAGATAAAATTAAGGGAAAGAAATATTACAGTCCTTAAAATTCTTAAAATCTTTGGTTATACAAATTATCTTCCTTACCAAATTGTGCTCTCCTGAACTTTATGTTTAATAAGACATTCAAATACTTGAAGCATCATTTAATCAATATTTAAAGAATAAAATTATTCTAATATATGAATAAGGAAAAAATTCTTGACATTAAACTTGTTATAATTATCTTTCTTTTGGTTGGACAAATAGTAAACATTTGCTCTTTTAGCAATGTCACAGATTACCCGAGAAAGAATAATTTTAAAAGACATCTAAATAAATGAATATTTTAAAACTGCAGTATAATGATAAAAAATGATTCCTGTACTTCGTCTTTAAATCACAATGTGATATTGCATCTTCCTTTGAATTACAGGGCTCCCCACAAATTACTCCTATGTAATGTGTGAATTTCCCAACCAGCTTAGGTCCTGGCAATGGCTTAGTGCCATGGCCAAACAATTGTCTTATTGTTCTCTCCTTAGCGGGAAGCCTTGCACATTGCACAAGAATATGCCTGGATGGTGACATACCAGTGCCTTAGTTCAGTCCTATCCCCATCGTGTGGAATGCAAAGAACAAAGCTGTCCTTGTAGCTAGAACAATCTTTTGAAAGTTGACTGATTTTTATAAAGGTGATATTCAAAGCAAAAAATCCCTGAATCATTACAACCAGTTTCAGAGCTTCTAATTTAACAGATGAAAATAGTTCTGAGTTATAACAGACTTATTAAAAAACTAGAATTGTGATGTCTTAGTTAGAAAAGTGAATAGAAATTAATCACAAATTAGCAACAGCTCTATTATGGATGAGATTAAAAGAATTAAGCAAAACAGCAACTTACTAATACCCAATGACTGCAGTTACACTTAAGATCATGTTTTTAACTAATTCATTTTTCTAATACAGCTTTACAAAATATTTATTTATATAACAAAGTAGCAGTGAATTTCATGATAGTGTTTAAGAAAAAAGAATTAAGCAACAGAACTATGTGGATAAAGATTAGTTTACATTATTGTAATATGGCTCACTGACTTCTTTAACCCTATCTAATATATTTAACTCGTAAACAGCCATACAAAAAGGAGGAAGGTTCTGGTTCACGTTCTATGAGATGAGCTCTAAATTTCCCACAGTATGGCCATTTTGGGACCCCTTGACCTTAGGACCCATAAACACTAGGGTACATCATTAATCACTTTAATTGCAAAGTTGTCAATTTGTGGTAACAAAGCAAGCCCAAGAAGGCAAGCATGCAAGAGAGTAGAGGGATGCCACTTAAATAGCTCTCTCATACTTGATGTACTTTCATTCAATCCACTGTCCCCTAAATGCAAACCTTGAGCACTTTGACCTTGTAGCAGTGCTTCCCTGGATTTTTCTAAATGATTTGATAATATTTCCTATGAATAAAATAACAAAATAGTCATGAATCAAAAAAAAGTTTCAGCTTATCAAAGACCATCATAACCACCCACACATATATCAAGCACATACTCACTTTCTCTCTTTTACATCTTTCTTTTAACTAAGGATCTAACACAGCACATGGCTTCCCCCTGGAGGGGACTCAAATTTGGATGAAAGAGACAAGACAGGTACAGAACTGCTCTGGTCGATGGGAGTATCTAGGGCCCCTGTCCTTGTGCTTGGCTTTAAATCCAGTG